TGGCCCATAACTATAGTTCCTTTATACATAAAGAAGGAGAAGGCATGGCAGCTGCTCTGAATCTGGGTCATGAGATCGTTCACACTGATGCCAACCCACTGTGCCGAATGAAACTTTAAAAATACCAATATTTTAAATAGATAACTATTATTTTAAGTGAACTAGAATGCTTAGTGAAGTGGCCCTGTTTCCCTCCTGAGCTGATGATGAACAGGTTCTTGCCTGTTCAAAAATCTCCAAATGCAGTCCTCTTCTAAGAAAAGAGAATTGATCTGGGTAAGTCAATACGTGTATGCCTTCGCGCAGTGAAAGAGAAGAGGCTATGTTTCTAATCATGGGATTGAGTAGTGGTGTGCAGTAGAAGTAATGAAAGAGAATGATGAACTCAGTAGCAAAAGGTCGTATCAGAGGACAATATTTTTTCAGGTTTCTGAATCCTGAGTACTAAAGAACAAATTGTCTTGAAGGAATTTCAGGATATGCAAAGGACACAAATAAAAAGAGAGATATATGGGACTATCCTGTAGTGAAAGAAGAGCTTAACAAGATGGTAATAACTTAGCGTAGACAGCAGCAGCTATATTACAAGAAATCACTCCATTACGATTGTTAACCTCATTTGCAGAGTGCACTCCCCATCCCAGTTCCCTAAGGAATGAAGTCCAAGCCCTCACTCTAATGTAGAAAACTTCTCATGTTCAGGGCCTTTACCCATTTGAGTGCTAGACAGCCTATGTGTATCAAATCATCATAATACTTTTATGGATGCAAAGACTGGTGTAAATATGATCATTTTTCCATGAGGAAACCAGAAATGTTATGAAACTTGCCAAAAGCTTTACTGCTGACATGGAGCAGAACACAGATTCCAATCTGAACAGACTTGTTTCTAAAGCCAGCCTGTTTCATGGTATTATTGATACCACTGCTGGTTTTCAGACACTATTAATGAGAAAACTGGGCTTTGAAAAGTAATAATTTCATCAAGGTTGCTCCCACATGTAAGTGTTGTGCTGGCTGGAACACAAACCCAGATCTGCTCACTCCAGAACGCATACTGTGTTCGTACACTAATCCCCACTGTCCAACTAACTTGGCCATCTTGAACATTTAGTTTTATGGGTCCAATTTTCATTGAAGTCATGTACAAGTCCACTTATAAGTGAATCTCCACCTCCTCACCCATGTAAAGGACTGTCAAAATGAATTTTGCCTGTTTGAAAATCATTCAAAGATGATCTTCACATAAACCTTTGCAGCTCAAACCATAATTCCTTAGCCTAGAGCAGGCATCAGGAGTATCTGTCATCAAAGCTGACCTTCCTTCAGTGGCATTAACACCTGACCTTTCAATACGTAGTCAAGATGCAAGGCTAAATCTACACAATGGCCAATGTAGCTGAGGAAGAATAGATAGAAAGAGAGGGAAAAAATTATGGCAATAATATTAGTGGTTTCAAGACGAAAGATTGACTTTCTAATACAACTTTATTTATTTTCTTCCCCCCAAAAAATATATTGGTAAAGTGATTCAATGAGTAAACAAATCAATCAATAAATGTATGAACAATCAGATAAATGAATATAGGGATATGAAAACCTGTGTATACTTAGAAGGAAACATAAATCTATATGAATTAGTAAATGTGGAGACCAATTTTGGAATCAGATTGGATTCATTGAGACTGGGGACAAGTCTAAGATATAGGTGCATAGATACAAAAATGGGAAAAATAACATCCATTTACTTCTTGTTTTCAGTCTTTATCCTACTGTCTCCCAGGAGAAAGATAATCAGAGGAAAAAGGGAAGATTCAGAATAAAAGCAAACTCAGGGGCTGTAGGTTTCAAGCAACCATTTCTCCCATCCCTCATACTGTGTTTGAAGCTAAAGTTTGTGATATCAGCTATATATATCACATGATCTTACGTACACAGATGCACACTCACACACACACATACTGTGTGTGGTAGATTATTGTGTGTACTGGAGATAATATACTTTAAATGTGCTAGTATAAAGCAGTACCACAACATTTACTATTATAGATTGGACAAGGTTTTTCTTGTCTTCTTTGTATAAGCGTCATGGACATTTCAAAACTGTCCATTTTTATTTCTCCCTTTACAATATTTCATTAATAATGGATAACGTTTTTGGTTATTTTATCAGCATTTGTCTATATTGGTATGAATAACATTTTTAAAGTTTTGGGTTAATTGTTTTTGTAATATTATTATCTTTACCAATATGAATTATGTCTTATTTTTATGTTTAAAGTCGAAAGCAAATATCATCAATTTTTTTGGACTTCATAGATAATGTAATCTTAGGCTAGATGCAGTGGCTCATGTCTACAATCCCAGCACTTTGGTGGCAGGTTGTTTGAGGCCAAGAGTTCAAGACCAGCCTGGGCAACATAGTGAGACCCTATCACTACAAAAAATGTTTCTAAACAATTTTCTGGATGTAATGGCACACACCTGTGGTTCCAGCTATTTGAGAGGCTGAGGCAAGAGGATCACTTGAGCCCAGGTGGCCAAGGCTGCAGTGAGCCATGATTGTGCCACTACCTTCCAGCCTGGGTAACATAGCAAGACCCCATCTCTAAAAAATAAAATATAACCTTGCTTCAGTGAAACATTGGGGACATGTGGGTTATCAATGGGCTGGTTTTAGGAAATAGTCTTAAGATGAGTCAGAATGTTTGAGCATAATTTAATTTTATGCTGTGTATTAGACCATTCTTGCATTACTATATGAGAATACCTAAACCTGAGTGATTTGGAAAGAAAAGGGGTTTAATTAGTTGGCTCATGGTTCTGCGGGCTGTACAGGAAGCATGGTGGCAGCATCCATGCTCAGCTTCTGGGGAGGTCTCAGGGAGCTTACAATCATGACGGAAGGTGAAGTGGGAGCAGGCAGTTCAGACGGCAAGAACAGGAGCAAGAGAGAGAGTGGATGGAAGGTGCATGCACTTTAAACAACCAGATGTCTTGAGAACTCTCATTATCACAAAGACAGCCCCAAGCCATGAGGGATCTGCTCCCATGACCCAAACACCTCCCACCGGGTCCTGTCTCCAACACTGGGGATTACAGTTCAACATGAGATTTGGGCAGGGACAAATACCCAAACCATATCATGCTGAAAGAAGTATTTTCTTTTATAGAGTTGGAAAATCCGTTGGAGTTCATTAAAATCATACTCTTTTTCTCCTGCTTCTAATATGTTGAAACTGAGGTTCAGAAAGATGAAATGACATGTCCCAAGTTGTGTATAGAGATAGTGGGGGAGAAAGGATTAACAAAGGGCGCCCAAGTGGTCTATTCTTTTCTCTTTCAGCTCAGTCATGCCAACTGCTGCGCTCCTGCTTCATGGCTGTGCTAATGAATATTGGTTACTTTCAGTGTATGTGCTCATCGCTACTGTCTCATGGATGTGCCTGGGGTCATTTCTTTACTTTCTGGATCTTGGTTTCTCCATTTGTAACACTAAGAGGGTGGGGAGGGAAGAAACCACAGGATTTCTATGCTAGGTTCCTTTTCAACTGTGAGAATTTATGAAGAGTAATGATGTAATTATGCAGGCAAGATTCTCAGATGACAAAAGCTTTTCAAGTTTTCCTATTTCCTCTTTTGCTGTATTTGAGAGGATGTTCACAATTAAATTGCATGTCCAACTGCAGTAAATGTTTTAGCCTAGGTTATTACTACAGAACGTCAGATACATCCTAGCTAGTGCCTTGCAACTTTGTATTTGTGGTTGCTTTGCCATATTACCGGGGCTACCAGGGTATTGTTCTCTTGTTTTTGTTGCAATTATTGTTTTCTTAACTGACTGTGAAACTAAGCTTCAGAAAAGCAGAGGGGTCTTGGCATTTTGGCTTATGCCGGTGGTCCTAGCTACTTGGGAGGCTAAGGTAGGAGAACTGCTTGAGCCCAGGAGTTTGAAGCTGCAATGAGTTAGGATCATACTACTGCACTCCAGCCAGGGCAACAGAGCGAGAGAGACCCTGTCTCTTTAAAAAGTATGTATACATACATGTATATGTGTGTGTGTGTATATATATACATATATATATTTAAAGAAAGTGTTTTTTTAGAAGAATGTAATCCAGGAATTTAATAAGATAGGTCAAAACACACAATTATCAAAATTTTATTTAGGTACCATAATTTCTACAAAAGAATATTTTAAATCCTAAATATATCATTAAAGAAAGTGATTTATCCAAGCTTCTTGTTGGCAGATACAGGTTTCAAATATAGATCTCTCAAGCTCTAACGCCCAAATATCCCCCTCTCTCACTGCCTTACCTTCTTTCTCCTATTAGACAAAATATGTCCTTCCACCATGATTTGAAGGTCCTCATCTTCGTGTTCTTTCGCTGTAAACCTTTCCAAATATTTTTGGTAAAGAGAAGTAATATGGGGAATGAATTCTAAACAAAACAAAATCCTGCAATTAACTTCATTGCATGCACAGTGTGGAACACATAATCTCAACCTTGCTCTCTGAGAAAATGGTTCTCTGAAAACATTATACGCGCTAGTGTTTCTCTTGTGAGGAAGCGTGTCAGGAGCCGGAACTGCAGGCTTTGGAGTCAGACATCCTTGGCTCAAGTTCTTGCTTAGTCATTTATTAACTGTGGGATATTGGGTGAGCTGCCTAATTCTCATTCACATTTTCCTTATTTTTGACATAGCAGTATTGCCTACCTTCCAATTTTGGCATTGCCAATCTTAACTTAAATCATAGGATTAAATGCTTAACGTAGAGCCCATGGGAAAGGGCTCCACAAACTGAGCTCTTAAGATGACTGTCCATACTCACTTCGGTGGAGCTCCATGGAGAACACAGCGTCCCTTCCTACTCTGCATACAGTACCTGGGTGTTAATTAACGTTGCCTGCTGAGTGGTCCATCACCCTGCTCGCATGGCCCATTTTTGACATTCCTCCTCATGTCTCTTGCTTTGTGTTGTGTTGTCTGGGCAGAGGACAAGATCTGGACGTCAGTGCAGCACAACAATCCAGAGCTGACCCGAGTGCGGGGCGCCAACTCTGAGAATCCCTATGCCATGGCCTTGGACTACGGGGGCAGCATGGAGCAGCTGGAGGCTGTGATTGAGGGCTCTGAGCACTGTGAGCAGGAGGTGGCCTACCACTGCAGGAGGTCCCGCCTGCTCAACACGCCAGGTAAGGCCTCTGCATGCATGACCACAGTGGGACAGATGGGCTGCCCCAAACCTGGAGTATTAGGCAAAGGAAAATTGGCCACGAAGGGAGCTATACTTACAGTTAGTCACTGCGCACGGGAGAGAAACACACCAGGAGAGGTCTGGTTATGTACTAATCCTGGCTCTGAAATTCAGCATGGGACCTAGAGTGAATTCTGTCACCTCTCAAGGTTTTCTCCTCATCATCGTAAAGAAAACAATTTGAACACCCACCGTGTAACAGTTGTGAGAATGAAGGATGCCTTGAGAGCAATGGCCCTCGAAGAGAGCATTCCAGATTGGCATAGAAAGTGTGGCAGTGGGAAATGCTGTTTTGGGGAGGGATAAGGTTTGATAAGGCACCAGGATCTCAGCACACCCACCCAAGAGCGACGAGTTACATCTGGGGTGGAGGATGCCTGGATGCCTAAGAGAGCAGCGTTAGGAGTGGAGGCCAGCCAGGCAGGCACGGCAAGCCTGTGGGTTCATGACGTGAACGGAGCCTGAGAAGTGGGGGCCTTAGGGGAAATGACTCCTTTTATAACTTAAGTGTGGTTCTAGAAAAAATTAAACTAACACTGCTTATTTATTTATTTTCCTATGGTTATTTTTTATAGTAAATGGTTGATTTCGTTATTAACATGCTTGGAAAAGGAAACAAAGCGAAAACAACTTGTAGAACTGCTTACCAAGACTCTAAAGCGTTTCCGTAAAATGTAAGAAAGGGTTTGTCAAAATTTACATGTTCCCTGGGAGGCAGTCATTTTTTTGTGGATGTCAGTTCATCATCTGTTTTGCTGGAGAACAAAGGCCAAAATACCTGAAGTATCTAAGAAAGGGTGCTATCATCTCTAGCCTCAAGAAACTTACATTCCAGCACTTAGAATTTAGGCAGTTTGAAAAGCTGGGGAAAAATGGAGAATACAATGTCAACAAAGGTGAAATCATAGAAACCTAACTAAATTCAACAGAATGCCTTCCTGAACTAGGATCTTCAAGGAAGACGGTGTTCCACATAAGACAATTTTCCAGATAACTGTCACTTATCCTTTTAAGTACCAAAAATCTTTCTAAAGAATTTTTAACTATTTGAAACGAAAATCTTTCTCAAATGGATTACACGCTTCCATGCCTTGTTAAACAGAGAATTCTGAACGTAAAATGTAACCTTTTCTTGATGACTCAGGATCAGCATCGTGAAAATCAATTACTGTACTCTCCTTAGATTCAACGGGCTTGCAGGGCTGATTAGATCAGAGGTACTGGTTCATGTCCCTTTACCCAGTGTCCTCAGAGGGTGCTGCCCTGCCAGAGTCAACGTTTATATTTATGTGTATTTCTCTGTCCATTGCTGTCAACCCTGCACGTGCTACCTCAGCACTGTTATCAGGGTGTCTGTCTCCAGAAATGCCCTTCCCTCTTTTCATTGTGTTGTTTCTAGTTTTAGAAGGTTTGATTTTGGCAGAATTGTAGAACAAATGTTCATTCTGACTATGGACTTCCTTCAGCCTAGGCATTCTGTAATATCAATTTGGCTACATCACTGCCTTTGCAAATGTGTTCTTTCCCTAACTCAACTGCCTCACTGTCCCTTATCTTATTTGAATGGGAGGGTAATGGTTTGGCAGCAAGTCATATTGGGATTAAGGGCTTGATCCTGTCATTTACTAGTTAGGTGTACTTATGCAAGTTGCTTAATTTCTACAGTTTCAATTTTACCACCTTAATTTTTTTTTTTTTTTTTGAGATAGAGTCTCGCTCCGTTATCCAGGCTGGAGTGCAGTGGTGCATTCTTGGCTCACTGCAACCTCCAACTCCCTGGTTCAAGTGATTCTCCTGCCTCAGCCTCCTGAGTAGCTGGGATTACAGGCACGGGCCACCACACCTAGCTAATTTTTTTGTGTTTTTAGTAGAGACAGGGTTTCACCATGTTGGCCAGATGGTCTCCATCTCCTGACCTCCTGGCCCACCTGCCTCGTCCTCCCAAAGTGCTGGGATTACAGGTGTGAGGCACACGCCACCTGAAAAATTTGCATGAAAGTCCTGAACCCATGAAGTTGATCTGAGGATGGAAGAAAAAATTTAGTCTGAACTGCTTGTGCTATGCCTGGTACATAATAGATACATAATAATTCAACAAACACTGTTGTCCTTATTCAAAGTTTCCATTGTAGCAGGGAAGGTCCAAAATGTGTTTCATAATGAGAAACAAACACACAGAGAAATTGTATTTCTGTTTTAACAATATAAATAGAATAATTGTAATAATTATGTAGCAACAGAATCAATTAGAAAGCTCGTGCATGTAGACAATCTCACCCCCTGAAGACGGCTACTTTAATGTCAGGAGTGAATCCTTCCAGAGTTTTTTCCATGTGTATATTCTCAGAGGCACAAGGCAGACACACCAAATGTTTGTGTATGAGGTTCTTCCTTTATCATCCTTTCCCCATGGGTTCTGAACGAATAGGAGGGTGAAAAAGGAGGATAATGGGTATGTAGGCTCAGTGTCTACCTTCTTCTGGTGAGCTGGTTTGGAGAATGTAGCATGGACCGTTTTGTCCCCTTGGCTTCCACCTCCAGACCAGACACTGTTTGTGGGTCAACAGAGCACTCACTTATCTAGACAATCCCATAGGGGTGTGACCTAACTTCACATTTTCACTGCCAGGACAGAATTCACCTGGGCCCCCATGCATGTGAGCTCACCTTCTGGAAGCAGGAATGGGAAAAACAATATACAACATATGTAGCCACATGGATTCAACAGCCAGCCCCTAGGGCATACACCTACAGGGATGTTTTCCTGGTCCTTATTATTACTAAGACACTCCCCTCCGTTTCCCACACAGAAGCCCAAGGACAGGAGGGAAAAAGGGTAGAGGCCATCTCCTCTTTACCTGTGATTCTGGAAGAATATTGTGCAAGTTTTTCCTTTATCAGCTGAATCTGTAGGCTATGCTGGGAAGAAATTCCCAACCCTGTGATACTGTTTTACAACCTGTGTTTGTCACACACAAGAAATGTACAAATAGCTTTCTATATCAATAAATATAACTTCATATTATCATTTTCATTAATTATAGAATATTTCATTATATGAATGGACTCCAATTAACAAATCTCTTATTCGGACATGTAGATAGTTTCCATTTTTTCGCTATTACACACAATGCTGCAGAACAGTTTTGCACATAGGTCTTTGTGAACATAACTGATTATATCCTCAGGACAAATTCCTTGAGGTGCCATTTGCCGGGCAGCAAGAATGCATATTTTTAAGACTCTTGCCACATTGAATTCTGCAATGCATCAGGTCGTACCAATTTATACTCCCCACATCACTGTGAGACTGATGCCAATTTCCCAGCAATAGATACTGTTATCTTCCTTCAGCTTTGATAATGTGATAAGCGCAAAGGTGGGCGGTCAAAGATGAGTATAAATAGTTTTGTTGTTAATTTTTAAAAGTTTGCAGCCTGATTTCCATAGCCTATGGGCTATTACTAATTAGTAGCCAGTGTTAGTAGACATAGGAAAAATTAAATTGTGGCTCCAGGTACATTTAAATCAATAAGAGAAAGTAGGGGTGCCTTGTTGCCATAGAATCTCCTATATACTATGCACAATAGATAATAAATGGAGACAATACAAGAAGGCAAAATGAAAGCAAAATAAAGACATGCTTAAATGGCCAATAATGACTGAGATTTCTTATGTTTGAGAATATGTGTGGAATGAGCTAGTGGAATTATCTCTAACCCAGACAGCAGACCTGTAGCATGAGTCATTGTCCCCATCTGCTATTTCAGAAAACAAAACTTCAGAGAGAATAAGATGCTTGTTTAGTGCCACACAGCTAGAAAGGGGCAGGTCTAGCTCTTGCAACCAACATCTCCTGAAGTCAGAGCAAAAATGCTATTTCTGATACATCACAAAAAGCTGCAAAGGGCCAAGATTTACAAGGAAATGAAGGAGTGAGAAAAAAACACAATTTTGTATAAATTTCCTTATTGAGTAGGAAAATGGGAGGAGAGAGAAGCACAGCCAGGTATGTCTCTGTGAAGACCACAGCATTGTCAGGGTTGCCTGCATGGGGCACATTCCTGGGCAGCATCACAGGGTTTGTGTCGTCCTGGCCTAGACGTAGCTGCTTCCGTGGCTCACACACCCCTTCATGGGTAGACCTGTGTCTTCCTACACAGCATCCCCAGAGCCTCCTTCTACCTGGTCCCAGCTCCAGCGAGGGCCCTAGTTCCATTCATTTAGTAGCAGCCGAGGGAGAAGGAGGAGACAGGATAAGGTCATGCATGGGTCATCACTGGGCCATTTTCATTCAGTTGTGGCGGACCATGACACTGTCATTTTATGACAATCTCCTTGGATTGTTTTTTTTCCCAGAACTACTGATAAGTTCCAGCCAATGGAATGTGTCCTCTATCTCTCTAACTGAAGGTTTATGCTAGAAACTATCTCCAGTGTCTCACCAGGACATCTGCATCCTAGGGAAAGTGTCTTTGTGATTCTCGTGCATCTTATTTTTCCCTTCACTGTGCTTGCTGCTTTCTATTCTGAGCTTTCAGCAGGGCCAGAGGCCCCGCCACAGTGCACCTTCCAGTACAGAGCCCAGGGCTGGAGAATCTCCACAGCAGGCCAGTTCTTACAGCACCTTGCCACAGGGGAGTAGGTGGCCACTTGTCCCCAGGGAGAAAGGCTTCCTTGGTTGAGCTCAGACCTTTTCTCTCTTGTCAGCACCTTCATAGGTATTTTGCCTGAGGCTAGAGTCCTGAAGGTGATAGGTGATGAGCATATGAAATGAAACAGGAAACGCTTACGCAGAGGACAGATAACTAAATATCAAAGTCATAGTCTGGAGGATGCTTTAATCACATGGCCAGTTAGATCTATAGCCCGTAACTTTCCCCTGGAAGGAAGACAAAATGGAGAGGGGTATAGGCAAGTGACCACATGGGGAAACTG